TCGGGACTTCCATTCTCAAAGCAGCTGTAATATGAAGTACGGATAACTCCTTATACTTGCGCTGCTCACTAGTATGTGCAAGTACTGTTTTGGCGAATTTTTTCCACACATATTCGCAAGTGCAGTTAAAGCAATAACAGGCATATGAAACCACATAGATCGATGGCAGACATAACACTTTTGGTTGTGTACAGACAATTAGCCTAATATTCTTCTTTAACGTTCATTCGAGGAGCAGCAGAGGGCCTGGCAGGTAAGCAACTGTGGTCGTGAAAGCTATTGCCACGTGTCAAATAGGGCCTAACATGTACGTATGGAGGTCTCAGACAGGATTTTTTGGCAAAACTTACTTGGAGGGCCCTCTTAATATATATTCTTTCCTCCCAACTGCCTAAACTATTCTGTGGTCAAACATTTAATTCTTGGCTCATGAGTGTAAATGAACGTTTAATCTTGGAGGAAGTGATAAAAAAAATATAAAATTAAACAAGATTATGTTTGTTTTAATATACTTAATTAGAATTTAATTCCATCAACATGAACTCCCGTTGCGCAGGATGCGAATGCTTATGTAAGCGGAATTTAACTAAATGGAAATTCAATTTCCTATTGGTGTAGCTAAAAGAAAAAAATGGAAAGCTGGGCTACTTAAAATTTAAATGTCGTTTTTATTATCAGTCGACGGGATTTAGAGCCTCTAAAGTCAGCCCTGTCTGTTTTTTAAACAGAATAAATACGCTTGTGTTTCTTGTTTAAAGACTTCGATTAATGTTTGCGTGTGGTAGCTTAAATCCGAGGCAGTTACATTTCTTAAATTTGCTTGACAGACGTACCTTGGAGAATAGAGACAAACAAGGCGATAGGACTTATATTCTTCTTCCGCGTTGTAAACACGCAGCGTGCAGCCGAAACTTCTTACTGAAGCTGAAATAATCTAATAAAAGCATTGTGCATTAACGGTTGCAAGTATCATCTGCCCGTTTGGGTCTTCTCCTTTTTTAGCATAATTACCCACCTGCATATAGTACTGACAATCCTTGTCACATTTGTTTGATTCAAAGTCGTATGTGTCTCCTGGTGCTACCATTTGGTTCATAATTTCACCCAGGGCCTCCTCTGTACCACTGGTCGTATCGTAAGTGTAACCAAGTCCAACACCCACATCCGCATATTCTGTTGCATTCGGGTGGATGAAGTTGAAATTTAAATTCGCCCATGCCTCAGCCCGTTTCTGCAATTCTGGGGAGTACTTCTGTGTAAAATGTAGAGCACAGAACTTTTTAATTGTTATACATACGAATGCGTTTAACAGACGAAGACAAATGATAATAAAAAACATTTAAAAAATGGGCAGCTGTCGGTTAAAATATGAAGAACACGTGATGTGAACGCTGGTTCAGACTGCTAAACGTATAAAGTAATAAAATCAGAAGTTCATTTACCATAAGTTGCATATCTGCAGCTGAAATCCAAACATCACTGCGGACTTTATTATGTACCGCAAACAGTAGCTTTGTTTCATCATCTGTGAGCACGGAAGATACCATGACTAGCTGAGATGCCACAGCGAGATATAAGACCGCACTGATTATACGGCTTTGGGTATCCATTGATAGACTTGATATGAGCTACGAAAAAAATAAGCATAGACGAATAGAAAAGAATAGTATGCAGTAAAACAAGCAGCATGCTCAAACTGTATGCTTCGTGTTCTCAAATTATTGCTTTTGTGTTTCAAAACAAGTTCATACAGCAGGAGTTATTTTCAAGCACAAATTTCGACATGACTCTCCAACTGCTACCCATTGTTATACAATAAGTTCTGTTATATACGCTTCTTTTTAATTCGAACCCAGGAATAGATGTTTAAAACTCCTTCGTGTATCAGGTCGGAGATATATTTAGGT